TTGGTGTAATTGTTTAAATAACTTGGTTATTTATAGTATTGCATCAAGAAGGTGATGTTAACATCAATACATTTTCTGCCACACTTTGTGAAATCATTTGTCACCACCGCTGGTGAAATGTATAAATGGATGTGTTCCGGACCGATGCGACTTAGGGAAATATTTTCAAGACGGGGGCCTATTCTTACTGCAACCGACAACGTATTTATAAGTCCAATGGTTTATGATTGTCACTGGATGGCGGTAATCACGATTAGGCGACTCACTTGATCATTTGCCTCGTTTTCCGTCAAATGAATATTCTTTCCTGTGCATTCTCAAATGTGTCACTTTGTATAATTCAATATTGACATGCATTTTGCATAATTAATGTGCATTCCATACGCCGAAAACTCCACAGCCCACTCGCAGTGGGATTAGTCCACAAAGTTAAATTCTAAGCGACTCGCTGACTCGCTCAGTAAAGCTAGTGTCGAGCCATGGAAAGCGCTATACTTGTAGTTCCTCTGACGGATCCGAAACGCGCTCCGACAGAGCACAAAGGTCACTCTCACGATAAGTAGTGTTAGGGGGCGGGTCACAATGCTCGCAGAAACTATAAACCATGAGTTCTTGGATGGCGACCGTGTTTAGGCAAGACTCGGACCAGGTGAGGTGAAAACTTGCGTAAGATGGCAGTAACTGCACACTACAACTGTTTTTACTAGGTGAGGTCTACGGCCAGCAGCAGAGGGTTGCACGGGACATACGTTGCGATTATGAGTTCAATCTGTTGTGCCATACCGCCCTCTAGACAAGTATGGCCGCCGAATTTGAGGAATCTATTTGAGCAGTACAATAGTTATAACGTAGTGAGATGGTTTATCTCCTTGAGATTCTACCTGTTATATTGTGTTTGATACTTTGCAGTTTTATTCTTTATTATTTATGTATACAGTTGCAATTTAATGATAATCTCTATCACCCAATTCCAAGTACCTATTACATTTCAGTGCGGATGATAAATTAACATTTAATTTAAATTACACTTGTGCCCCTGATACTGTTATCGGCAACGTTTCTTCCTTTATTCGTAAACTTGACCTGAATACGAATAATTTTAATTGGTTCCTTGACAGTTTAAGAAGTTTCTGGAAGCGTTAAGTAATAGCAACACATACTCCTCTCACATTCCTATCACATGAGTTATTATAGAATTTCTCTGCGAGTATCACGTTCACTGTTACATATTTTATATATCCTCTTAGTCGGTTAAATTTTCATTTTCAAGATGATATGCTTACAATAATTCCACGGGCTTTCAAGGTTGGCAACGCATCTGAAATATTTCTATTTGGTGCTGTACTTCTGCATTATTCATAAACATCTCGAAAACAATATGAAAATGAAATACTAGAGATAACGACAATGATTAATTCTTATATCCTCATACATAATATATTGAAAGTAATTCTGCGAATTTTATCACTCAATTTAGAATAAACGCAAATGTAGTCGGGAAATAATAAAATGTCACCGCTGAAATGTATACATTAAACTGACTGTACTTTATTTTCGTCTCTTTGGTACATGTACACATTAGTGCTAACACCATACGTTACTAGTTAAATGTACGGTTAGCGCCAGACGTAATTAAATCCCGCGAATGCATGCAGTACTCCTAAGTTATGCGACACAGGTTGGTTCTGCAGTCGCGCCAAAATCGATACCCGCTACGCGATTTCCCGCGCTTTATTGAATAGCTCGGCAAGCGTTTCAGGTACATAAAATGCACGTGGACGTATATAAACTCACACGTCTGTGAATGTCTAAGTCTTCTTCTCTGTTGTTATCAAAGATTATGCGTTTCCACTTTTCTTACACACCTCGTCTGGTCTTTTTATCATTTAAAATTTTCCACTCCTTTCCGCATATGGAATAAACATAAAATTTGTCCCCGACAGCACTACAAACAATTGCTGTCTCCGTGGCACAGTTGCCAAGGTATTGGCCTCGGTGCCGGGGGTCGAGGGTGCGATTCCCACAAGGGAGAATTATTTATGCGACCCACAGATGATTGTTTCGGATCTGGGTGTTTGTCCACTTGAAATATATCTAAATATGTATGTAAAGCGAACTTACAACACAGGATATAATGTTATCCCACAGTAAGGGCAGTGTTTTTTGATAAATAAAAAACCGGCCAAGTGCGAATCGGACTCGTACTTAAATATTTTTTATTCTGTTTTTTAGTATTTGTTTTTATAGCTGGAACAGAAGTACATCATCTGTGAAAAATTCAACTGTCTAACTATCACGGTTCGTAAGATACAGCCGGGTGACAGACGGAAAGACAGATAGCGGAGTCTTAGTAATAGGGTCCAGTTTTACCCCTTGGGCACGGAACCCTTAAAAAACGAAGAGAAGTTAACCCATAACAACTTGTAGAGCGGGATGCTCTACTGCTTATGCAAGGTACACCCGTGTTCGGGGATATAATCTATATCCATTTAAAGACGACAATTAAACGTGGTTAGATAAAAAATATCCTGAACATAGTGTTGGCTTACCATCAATATATAAGTGTGTACTTATGTGTGTAGATCAGTGTACACTTGTGAGGTTGTAGATGTCTTACCGATCTTTTAAAGAGTGCGCCCTGGTTACCTCACTCTACTCAGTGTAACCCTTCATCTTCACGTTGGTCTTCAGTGAGGCCGTCGTAATTCTTCGGACGAGACTGCCCCTACGGGCTACTATAGAAACTGCTGCGTGCTACAAAAAAAAGTCTACAAAGTCAAAACTCCTTAATAACTTTTTTTTAGATTTTTAGATTGGCGTTTGAAGATACGCGCAATGCTTATTTGTTAATCAAACTTTATCTTTTAAGCTCAGTCTTTGGTTTCTGCTGACAATTTATGTTCAAACGAAGAAATATTTAACATGTAAATTGCTCACAAAATACTTTATGAATTTGACAACAAATCTCCTTGATGGTGGCTATAAAAAAGAAATAAAAATCCGCACTAACCTCGGTAGCCGTAATATCTCTAAAAATAAGCCGGATCGCGTTCACTTAATTACAATTGTCACAAACAGTGTACTTACAAGGAATGGCATATGGAATTATTTTTTTTTTATGTTGCCAGTATTAATTCTCGAGCCGCGACCTTCATCAGTCAAGTCGAGTGACCCCTCTTTCGAAAAGATAAAACATTCCTTAACAAGTCAATAAGCGTTTCCTCTGTATGACACCTGGTGAAATTAAATGTTGTTGTTTTTTTTTCAACGCTTTACTATTTGCTACAATCTTTCCAATCGAATTTAAAAGGACTTTGCTAAGCCTTTTTACGTTAGCTAATATCTAAATCAGACATCCGGTAGTGTTTTTGGGCCAAGTACGTTCTCGTATTTGAAAAATGTTTAAAAAATAAAAAAAAACACGCTTTTATATTTAGCAGAACTAAAGCTTTTATACTTAGCAGAACCAAACAATAGAAAATAAATAATAGTTTTAAAAATCGTACTAATTTTATTTTTCAGTTGAAACTAACTTTCAATAAATTTAAATTAGGAATAGTTTAAAAAAAGAACAATGTAGCGGCACCAGGAAGGAGAGGGAGTTAAGCTTATGACGCGCGAAGGACCTCATTCAATGCGCCATGAAGCAGTAATGAATGAATGTCCTCTACACTTGTCAGCGAAGCTATTTCAGCTCTCTAGTTGCGCAATCGGCCGGGCGCCTTTGAGGATATATCCCGCTGAAGCTTTCAGGGAATTCGTTACGAGTCACCGTTTGTTACCACAACGCTCACGGCTAGCCTATTTTCTAGGCCTTTGACTCACGTCTATTTCGTATGGGCTTTACGTTTTGTATTACAGATTGAATTTAGATCCCTTTGCGAACATAAAGATTAAGTATCAATGATTTGACGTGTTTTTCTCTTCCCTACTCACAATTACATTTATGCCCCGATACACAACATATATAGGTTACTTATACTATACATTATATTTATGTGTGTACATGTTGGCATCTATGATCATGGCTTACATATGACTTTGTTTTTTGTATATGAGGAGTATCCGACGTGTTAATCATTAATTGAGCCGTCTCTGTTTTAAATTTTAAATTCGCTTATTGTGACGTGAAGTAAAGTGTAAAGTGTAAATAAATAAATAAAAGAGAAGAAACGTACAAAGTTTTTCTTTTAACATTTGTAAAATTAGTTTAAATTTTATGACGTTCTACATCAAATGGACGGAAATGGATGGAAATGGTTATAAGCAACAACAGACATAACAGCCTGTTGCAGGGATAAAAATATTAAATTAATATTTACTTGATAACAAAAGGGTATTGATAATTTGCACAAAATAGTTTTGTCGAAGCTAAATATTCTTGGTGAATATTGGTGGGATTCGTAACATCCATTCGGCAATAGATTGTGTGCGCCGATATTTGAAAATTGACCATTCAGTACTAAAAGTACTGAATGCTCGTCCAAAAATAAAAATGATCAATTTCGGCTTAACTCTATCTTAATACAAGAGATGACCGTATATTGTTGTTTTAGTAAACTACGAAAAGTATTTGTACAACAAATATTTTAATTCAGCGTTTATTTTGTTCTGATTGCGTTCACATTCTTATCCGATAAGTAAATAATTAAATATGCACGACCCGAATGGCGTAGTGGGAGTGTACCTGCCTCCTGCGCTAGAGGGTGTGGGTTCTATCCCCACTACTGGAAAAATATTGTGTGATGGACATAATGTTTTTCTAGTGTCTGGGTGTTTATATACGTATAATATATATTTTTTGACAAAAGAAAAGTATATTTAAGTATGTTTATCCGTTTTCTTCTACCCATAGTACAAGCGTTGCTTAGTTTGGGACGTTCGTTTAGTTTTAGACGTTTTAGATCGTTAGGTAAAAATGTGTCCTAAAATATTTATTTATTTTTAAGTATTAGCTTAAAGCGAGTTTCCAATATGAAAGAGATTCGACTCAGTTGCTACTTGTAGGCGAATCGTTTTAGCGAATTAGCAAGTCGACCTCGATTCAAATAATACGATCGAGTCTGCGGCGAGATGCGTTCGACTCGGCCGCCAGTAGTGGTCGCGGCGTGATTGAGACGGCGCCAGGGCGCTTCCGCAAGCCCGCGCCGCTTACTCACCGGACAGTCGCGCTCAACGATATTCGGGCTTATAACACGCGAGATTGTGTCGTGCCTTTTTTGGAGGGCGCTGGACGCCCCGTTCGCGGATTTGCGGAAGCCGGCCCGCGTGCGGATTACGCGGCGGGCGCGGATTTTTCTGCGGGCGCGAATTACTTGATGTCGCCGGATAATCGTTAGCGCTAAATAGATTGGTATGTTGTACAGTGATGTTTTCTTGGGTATGATTGCTTTTTATTTGCTTAATTTTACACATAAGTGGGGATGCTACTTTATACGTACAGAACATAAAACATAGTAAATATAAAACGCATTCGTAATTGTATGTGTTCATGGGCGGCGGTGATCTCTTACCATCGAGTGAGCCTTCTCGTTTGCCCCTTTTTCCCCATAAAAAAATATTATACATAAAAATAGTTTTGTTTTTATCACATAGATACACGATATAGCAATAATAAGAAAGCAATAATAATCTGATAGAGTATGCCGATATACTTCGAGTTAAGAAACTAACAACGACATGAACTAATTCCATGTTAGAACACATCATTATCAACTCCCAGGTGTCAATTCGTACGTGAACCATAAATGAGGCTGAGAAATTACTTTGTTGTTACTTGTAACAGTTTATCTGTATTAAGTAGCTGGGGTAGAGCACGCAGAACAAGAATAGACTCAGTTGACAATATGGCGCGATATCGCTTCGACCTAGGGTTATCATCGTTACCAATTTTATATTGTTCATTTGAAATTCAGAATTTTTGGATCATAATAGATATATAAACGATGACACGTTGGGGAATTGGTAAGCTATTAGCTGTAGCGCTGAAGGATTCCCCAAATATTTGTGTTTATTTTTTTGCATCTGGATGTTTGTTACTAAGGAGGTTATTTAGATTATATTTTATGTTAAAATTGAGCAAACGTGCAGGATGATTCACCTGATGTTAAGTGATTTACGAAATCACTTGCAACGTCTGATGGGTTGCACATGCGTTGCCATTATTAAAAAAGTGGGCTCCGATGACCCCACTCACCAGACGAAACACAAATGAATAATATTTCCACTTCACGCTGGTCTTCTGTGAGTCTTGTGGTGCTTCCCCGGATGAGCCTACCCATCCGTGCAACAGCCGAAGCTGCTGCGTGGCCCTACCACAGAGTAAATTGTTAGTTTAACTTTTATAAATAACGGCTGTTCCTACTGATGGGCGTTCTACAATCGCTAAAGTCGAATTCTGATACAATCGCTGTATTGTCAACGTGATGAACAGTTTGTGTAACATTTTTGGGCTTTAATACTTTTTTGGGACTGAGAGGTTGTTGAAGCTTTCAAACGACTTAATTATGATAAGATGACTCCGTGGCGCAGTTGCCAAAGTATTGGCTTCGGCGCTGGGGGTCGTGGGTTCGATTCCCACACTGGACGACTATTTGTGTGACCCACAGATATTTGTTTCGCATATGGATGTTTGTCCGCGTGAAATTTATGTTTGTAAAACATCCTTACAAAACAGGATAATGTTATCATAAAGTAAGGGCAATTGTTTTAAAAAATAATTAAAGAAAGAAAATTAGAGTCTTGACGTATTTTGAAAACCTTTCTCCCGAGGATGGCTGACGTTATGAACGAAAGAATGAAAACATTTATTGTAGAAATACGCCACGTAAGGATTTGAAAAGTACTCACGCAGGTGGTCGGCCGTACGTAGCCAATACAACTGACAAAACGACTAACATTTTGTGCATACCCGATACGGCAACAGTATAAGTGCATGATGACGATGCTGATAAAGCATTAGCGGAGGACTAAAGTAAAGAAAATCGTTCCTCGAATACGTGGACTGATATGAGGGCACGGTCTACACGTTTCTTACAGAAGTGATCGCCGTAGATCGAGACATATTGGTGAGTGTAGACCCGTTTAGATAAAACGCCTCTTGGCAAGATTGACTTGTTTTTGTTGTTATTTGAGAAGTTGGCAAGCTAGCTGGCGGTTAACCTTTGAGACATTAACAACACCCGTAAGGTTTCAGATGCGATGCCACATACGGCGTGCCCTGGGGGACGCCTATGTCCGTCACTCAAATGCTAGCTAAAGATCAAACAATATAACCGATAAAGGCGGAGTGCGTGGTCCATCAAATGCCGTAGAATAGTGACGACGACGTTGAAGTGCCGATTCGCGTTCTTATATCGGAAACTGCTCCCCTATACTGTTAGGCTACTAATTAATATGGGTTCATATTCGCTGTTCGAATATAATGTAATGTAACAGTCTATACCTATATATCTCACTGCCGTACAAAGGGCCTTCCATACAGAACTTTCATTAACTGTGGTAGGGACACGCAGCAGCCTCGGCTGTTTCACGAATGGGCAGGCTCGTCCGGGTAAGTACCACGACCTCACAGAAGACCGGCGTAAAGTGGAAGTATGACAAATATTTTCGCGTTTCGTCTGGTGAGTGAGGTAGCCGGAGCCCAATTTTCAAAAGTTGTCAACGCATCTGTAACCCTCGGGTGTAGCAGATGTCCATGGGCGGTGGTATTCACGTAACATCAGGTAAACCGCCTGCTCGCTTGTCGACTTTTACCATAAAAAAAAAACAGAAGTCATGAGGGTCCTCTGTATAGGGCAGCACTAAACCCTGTGCGAATGAGCAGATTTCATACAACAATTTCCTAGTAGTACGCGAGTAATACACATAGTCTAAAATATCTTTTACTGGATTTAATCTAATAAACATAGGCGAGGCCATTTATCTAAATGAACATTTGACTACCAACAAAATTACACATAAACAAAATGAATTAATATATTTCCGAGCAATGAGTTACAAGTAGCGAATCTCAATTACAGGCAGTCAATAATTCAAAATATTATGTGTCTTACTCGTAACCTAATAGTATCGAGTTAATGAAAACCAAAGTATGAGAACAAAACCCGAATGAAAAAGTAAACAATGACAAAATACAGAAAGAACTTTCTAAGTTAAGTTCATTCTGTATTCTGAGTTGAGATCTTGATTAAACTTCATCTAAGCACACTAACACTGCAAGACAATGGTAACGTCAGCTCATTCTGCATGAACAAAAAAATAATTACAAATCAACTTTTTAACTACTTTTTCTTAGGTATTCTGGATCAACTATGACACTACGACATCTTCAGACAGTTCGATTCTAAAAAATGTCAATTGTGTAAAATAAGTCATAAAAAACATTTGATATAACTTCGAACGGAACCCGTGCGAAGCTGGTGGATTGAGCTTGTAATTAATATGTTACGGCAGTCAAATGAAAGTACACAATAATAGGCTACGCTTGCAAGAAGTCTAACAATGTGATCGTAAAATAGTCGGAGGCAACGAAAGAAGTTTCCATACCTTCCCCATGTTAATCACGTTTTCTAATCGAGTACAATGAGTAAGAGCGCGATTTCGCTTCATAATACGGGTAAGAGTACCATCATTTACACCGTAGCCATGCGGGTAAATGGGCTGTCGCTAGCTTAATAATAAATTACGCAAACCGGTAACTTAAAACGCACTTTTTAAAAGAACGGCCCTGAACATAAAGGAATCGATTATAAATGATGTTGTTAATTAAATAATTGGATTTCAGGTTAGATTATTTTTGGTAATGCTTGTTTCGGAACGGTAAAAATTCACGCGCGTTTAAATTATGCGAGCTGTCAAGATATTTTTTTCCAAAAATGGAATCACGTTTTATTTATTTTTATTTTTCAACGGCCAGTCGCAAACAAACAGTATGCAGGAAGTGTCCCACAGCCGCGTAATGTGCGGATCGACGGAGTAGCTACGATAATAATTTTATAAACTAATTGCGCGTTATTACATTGTTTATCTGTGGCAGCGTATAGCGATCGCGCTCATGACGGCCGCCGATCTTGAACGCTCGCCATTTATGGTATATCGTAGGAAGTCGCGCCGCGTTTGTCATTCGCTAATGGTCTCTGGCGACTGGTCTCCATCAGATATAGAACATCACTAATTGCTCGATTGCCGGATTCGTTTCTGCTGCGCCGTTTCGGTTGCACTTTAGCGCTTCAGGTTATTGTTAGGGTCTCGGATGCGTACCGTCTGTGATGCATATGCCATCCGTCATTAACAGACGAGACCGCCAAACGGTGACCAGAACGATCCTGGACATTTCGGGTACGAGTGGGCTGGCTCTATCAGTGATATGCCAACCCCTCTAAGTACCACGACCTCACAGAAGACCGGCTTGAAGTGGAAGTATAATACTTTCGCGTTTCTTCTGGTGAATGAGGTAGCCTAGCCGGAGCAATGCATCTGCAACCCTCGGGTGTAGCAGATGTCCGGCGGTCATGGGCGCCGCCCATGTATTCACTTAACACCAGGTGAACCGCCTGCTCGCTAGGCAACTTTTCACATAAAAATAAGACTAGAACATTCTTCTTCACATAAAAATAAATACAGGACCATAATTTTGGGTTCGCATCTCACTGGTTAAAAAAAATCTGTAGCCGTAGATGTTAGGCGTTGTTAGCCGTGTTGATGGCGATGCCCTCTTAGCGTCAGCACTCGATACTTAGCATCGAGCTCTTTATACGGGCCTCTCACACAGACAGACAAAGGTTGATTTCAACCACTCTATCCAAGTTTTACCAAGTTGATTAGTACACAGAACACGTTGAGTAGAACAAGTAGAGATGCACGTTTGCATTTCAACCCATCTACAAGACGGCCGGGTGGCGTAAATGCAGGACTCCTGGCATTGCCAAGAGGCCGTCTTTGTTGACGATGGGACATCACAAACGCAGGGCTGTCGCTGTTAAGGTCCTCAGACCAATATTGAGTTGAGCACATAGAGCACGCACTCATCTTCCACTCCGTCTTCAAAGGCAGGCTGCCAATTAAGAGGTCCGAGGCCGGACACCGCGAACACGGGACCCTTGGCATTAAGGCCCTTAAACGGAGCCGCGACGGGGCGCAATTAAGATAAATCTCGAAACTGCACCGCCCGCCAAGGCCACCTGCCTCCGCTGACGGTGCCGGGCGCTGCGCCCGCGCATCGCCGACTCCATCCGTCAGTCGACCGCCGACACCCGGCAAGTGAGCACGTACCGCACTATCCCCTATCGATATCGCCTCGCCGCTCTGGTATAACATCGATAGGGCAGACGAATTAGTGTTTTGTTGTGTTTTGTTTTTTTTTTTTTCTCTCTTCGCGAAAAAGACACCAGTGCTGTGACTCTCGGACGGGCCGGTTTCTTTTCACGTAAAGGTAGGCGAGATTTTATTTTTTGATTCGTTTATTATTTTTTTTTTAATTTATCTGTATTTTAAGTAAAGCGAAGCGTTTGCTACGGTATGATTTTAAGTATATTTTCTTGGTTTGTCACATTCATTGCTTTATGAGGTCGCAATCGTTAATGTTATCAATATGTGAAGTGTTTGCGTCAATGTTTAATCTAAATAATCCTTGGGCGAAGTATCGATCGTATATCTTAAGTTTATTCAATTGTTTGCAGTAATGATTTATAGCTGCAATATTTTTAATATGCATGTAGACGAAAAATTGATGGATGAATTAAATAATTTACTAAAATAATAGCGGCAACGTAAAATTATGTTCGGGATGTTGTAAAATTCATGTAATTACGAATAATGAATCAATTACTTCATGATGTTTGTTCAAAAACAAATTGGTTACGCTACAATGTAAATGCGTCACCGAGATTAAATATTTCCGAACGGAATTTCATTCAGAAAATCCCATCAAAGGTTGGATGTAATGTGATCGGAGCTAACCTTTGACCAAAATTTTGTTATGTTATTTGATGTCCTAAAGTGTAATTACTGACTTTCCAAGTAATTCGTAGTAATACAATATTTTTATTTCATTTAAATGCATCTGTCATGATCTTTTTGGTATTGTCAAAAAAGTGGTAGGAATTTATACGTTAATAAAAATAACGATTAATAATGTTCGGGTCTTAGGTGTTTAAGTTTATTTTTAAACAACTGACGGCTTCCACCTTCATGCTGTTTTAGTCTATCGTCAGTATTTCAAAGGAAGTATTAAGATGACACAGCCACACTATTCAGAGGAACTCCATCTGATGTGTCCTGCATACTTTTATTTTTGGTTATTGATCCCCTCCCTCAGTCGCAAGGATCCGGTATTTTCGTCCTTCTTTAACTTTAGCTAATATTCTAAGTATTTCTGCACCTTGTTTTCGTATCTCTTTGTCAATCAGAATGTTCTTCGATATTTTATCTCTTATAGCTAGCTTTTCTTCATAGCTTTTTGAATTTCTTTGATATGCGTTTAACTATTAAACACTTTTATTTTCATATAAATATGTTGTTTTATCGGACTGTATAAATTATAATGTAACCTTTATGGGCGGGATTAATGCGTGATAAAGTTATCATTATTCGCGACAAAGAAAGTAAAAATATAGGTATTTACTTTTAATGAAGAATATGAAATAATATTTACGGCCAGGTTTTAGCATAAAATGTCATTTTATTTTAAAAAGATAAGGTACAAGAACCAAGAATTGAAAAAGTTTTGTTCTAGATATGCAGCCAAAAGAATTGAATTATGTTACAATATTAATAACGCTTATCTACGTTTTGGTACGAGTTTAATTCTAATGTCATTTTTAATTTAATGTCGTTGTATCGCTTCTATGTTTTATCGTCAAAATACGACAACTTAATTATCAACACTTGTACACTATTTATTTTCGCAAGGACATCGCGTTGACTCGATAGAGACGCTGGTGAATATATCGATAACGCCATATTTTATCTATCCAAAATGGCGGACTAAACTCTCACTACTCTTCGCTTTGTTTATCGAATTCTGTTTTCGTTTTATTCCTTTTCGTACGGGCGGCTTCTTTGCGTGCAATGCCAATATATCGCGAGATAAGCACATAATCTGAATTGTAGGATCGATTTACTTAGGATTAGACAGCCGCCAAGATACGGCAAAAATTGCAAATGTCCAATTTGGACACTTTCTCGACGTATGTGAGGTATTTTCGGCCTTTTCGCGCTTGCTAAATAATTAATGCTATTGAAATATCCGTTCGTATAGAATCCAATTGAATTTCGAACACGCCGTTTGAAATTCGATTTACGATACAATGCATGCGTACGTGACGCGGTTAGCTAAATTTGCGTTGACTAAAATTTGAGTGGGAAAACTTAATTAAATTTGAGGTTTGTTTGTGGCTTTATCAGAAATCAATTACAAACATATTTTCGTTTAAAATCTTGATAAGTACGTACTTTCTTATATTCGGTTTATTAGAATAATAAACTGAACATTTATTCCATATATTACTCCCAATAAATTTTCTACCAGTTGATTTCTCACGACACTATATTTATTTGCTAGCTACAGCTAGCTTAAACGGATAATTATTCTATAAGCTCATTTTCTCGATATCATTTAAATTTTTAAGTAGTTTATTAATATTCAGTAATCAAAGTAAGAATGGGCTTCATCTAGCCATTGATTTTAAAAAGAATCTAAGAAGAATTATCAAAGGCAGGATAAAATGCTGCAGATAAACAAAATGTATAAAAACACAATAATTTAATACTTCTGTTTTATACAATTTTCTAGTTTTGTCGCGTTTTCAGTTCTTTATGTCAAAAATATTGTAAAAAACATAATTGGATATAATTACACCAACAAGATATATTCATTCTCTGATAATATATTGAAATATATTCTTTCATCTCATTATTACTGGTTAGCGTCAGTCGCACAGGAGATATATTGGCAATCATTATTCGACTATTTTATTCAAATATATTTCGACAATTTTATCAATTCAATAATATATCACAATATAAGGCGTCCAACTTTGGCTATTACTTTTTTTATCTAAAACGTGTTCATCGCAAACGGTCATCCTTACTTTATGCGTCCATAAATTGTCATTGTCAGTTGAAGTGTCATCCGTCTTAGAAATGAAATGATATCACTTCGCAATGGAGGCAGATACTATATTTGCTTATCGAATAATTGAAATCGCTACGAAATGTTTGACGGCCGATACGCCAACGTATCAGAATTATCGATAATCAATCTGAAAATTACGCGGCAAGAAGAGCCAACCCTAGACCACCTCCTGACGACAAGGTCGCGTTTCGCGCGAAGCGGCCGCACGCGTTCGCTATAATTTCACGCCCGTTCCCCGACGGACGCGAATACAGCGTGAAGCCAAAAGCATCCTTAAAAGCATACAACGAGTCTATGCCTATTGTGTGTAAACATCTGTCACGATAAGGTCTGTTTCGTTTGAAAGCTTGGCCAAGGGGCTAGGGCGTGAACGGGTCTAAATGTTCAAGACCTTGCAGTGATTGTAATTTCTACAATGCGAACTGGAACTTCCGCATTTTAAAACAGTCTGCAACAGTCTTCGTTGTTATACGAATGGGCAGTGCGCAGCGGGCAGTGCGCCCGGGGAGAATCACGACCGGCGTGAAGTGGAAGTGTAGCGTTTCGTCTAGTGAGAGAGGTAGCCGGGGTCTACTTTACCAGCGTGGCGACGCATCTGCAACATGGGTATGTTGCAGGTTTTTTAAAAAAAGTTTATATCACAAAATATATATTTCTTATTAAAACCACTTTAAAATATAATAGATCAGAATGGAATTCGAATGTCGAGCAAGTGTTACCGCTTTGGATACTTGTGACGAACTGACTCTTCAATGCAGGGGGCATCTAGTGCTTACAAATATGCTGATAAGGGTTGGATTAGGTTGGCTTGGTCAGGTCTATTATATACAGGGAGTATACATAACAGTTCGATAAGCAATATTTGTCGCTGAGTACTGTATGATATATGCATTGTGCGTTTTCGCCTTTTTATGTGATAAGGTGGCGATGAGCTGGCTGTCCACCTGATGTTAAGTGATAAATGCCGCCCATGGATATGTGCAACACCGGTAGAGTTGCAGATGCGTTGCCACCTTTTAATAAAGTGGGCCGCGGCTACCTCACTCACCAGACGAAACGCAGAAATGTAACACTTTTACTTCACGCAGGTCTTGTATGAGGTCGTGGTACTAACCCGGACGGACCTGCCCATTCGTGCAACAGCGAACACTATTAAGTGGCCCTACCACAGATAACACGTAGATAACCAATTTTAATTATTTAACCGGTATAACTTTATTATAATTTTTACTTTTAGAGTAACGTCCTATTTTATCTCCCTAATCAGATCAATTTAAGCGTTTATTTATATTTTTTGAAATATAATATTTTTATACATGATAATATCTGTCTCTTTCTACGGTAAGGGTCGTTACTTTCTCAATAGGCAAATCATAGAATTTAACACTGTAAGATAAAGTATGGCACCAGGTACTAAAACTCTACCAACAAGCGATTTAGAAAAAAAATTAGAAAAAATGTAAAACGGGACCCTATTACTTAGCCTCCGCTGTCCGTCTGTCATTAAGCTGTATCTCATGAACTGTGATAGTTAGACAGTTGAAATTTTCACAGATGATGTATTTCTGTTGGCGCTATAACAACAAAACTAAAAAACAGAATAAAAAAATATTAAAGTGGGGCTTCCATAAAACAAACATGTATTTTTTTGCCGTTTTTAAAGATGTGGAACATGCGCGAGTCCGACTCGCACTTGACCGGTTTTTATATACATTGCCCTTGTTGTAGGATAACATTATCGTGTGTTGCAAGGACGTTTTTCAAACATAAATTTCACGTGAAAAGTTCCGAAGCCATTATTTATTTAAGTCATACTAAATAGCTGTCCCGTGCGGGAATCGAACCCACGAACACGGCGCCTAAGCCATGCCAGCTGTATGTGAAGTCATGCTAAATGCTCCTGAGCTTGGTTTTTAATCGTTAGAAGAAACAAGTTAACAATAATGTAAATAGAAATGTATTCAAATATAACTAAACGGAACAATCAGTTAGCCCAAATCTGCTGTTTTTCGAAGTTTGAAGTGGTTAAATTTATTCTTTATAAAGACTTTTAAGAATGAAGAAAGTGTCAAAGAAATAGGTATGCACACAACACACACATTATGTGACAAGAATGCATGCACACACGGCGCGGATTAACCTCTTTTATGGGGAGTTATACAGCGTGTCTTTACCACCGCGA